TACCGCTGTACTATGACATCATTAAAGTTAATGAGCCAAAAATAAGCAGGCATGTCCCAAGAGAGCTGTTCTTTTTTTTTTTTCTTCATAAAGACTGGTATGTACAGGACTAACATAATATGCACCTCTGTGCTGGTAGCAAAGTAATGTTTGAGATAGCAGGAAGTGAAATTTAAAAGAAAGATGTCAGGTTGCCTATACCCTTTGTCTAAACCCCAGAATATTCTTGTTAGAGGAATATTTTGCTGCAGTATATAATTTAGATTTTTATAAAAAAAGTGCCAAGCTTGGACAGAGCTGAGAGAAGTTACTCCTTCCAGTTTGCTGTGTACAGCTTGGGGCAGAACCTGGGGGAAGGAAAGGATAAAAACAGAAGACAAATGTTAAGTGTTAGGGAAATGTAATGTAAATAGAGCCAGTGCACAAGCACAGAGCATGTGAATAAGGAGGCTTTATAGCATATGGATCTTGCCATGTCCTCTTAATAGTATCCACAAAGAAAATGCCACAGTTCTTCAAAGAACTGTCTAACTATGTTCACTGATGATGGGAGGCTTCTGCACTAAAGGAGTGAAGTCCTGGGTCAAAGTGGCTTGAGGAAAGTGTCTTTCTTCAAGGCCCTGGATCCATGTCACTTTGGAGGGCCTCCTCTCTCATCTTCTTAGAAACAGCCTTCAAAATATGTTCAGTTTGACTGTGCTGTGGCCTCAAATAGGGGTATCAGGAGAAAGCCTGATCTGACTCATTAAAACAGTGCTCTTGGGCATCCAGCGAGTACAGCAAGGGAACATATACATTATTAAAGCTCTGTCTCATCTGTTCTGCAGTCTTGTTGTGGGATATTTGGGAGGAGGGGGGAGATGAAGCAACGAGTTAAAAAGCAAGAAAAGCAGAGGGCTGACAGAAGTAAGAGCAGGAAAGATGTACCTGGTGTTGATGAGAATTTGCTTTCCAACACAGACAGTTCAACAGGAACAATCAGCTGCTGGCACACTGTGGAGAGGAACAAACACTGCTGCAGGATCTTAACAACAGGATGGGGAGAGACAGGAGCTGACAGTGAGTACAGGTTACTCTGACATCAAAGGGCATCATGACCAATCAAGGGCAGTGCCAGCTCAGACTGAGAGCAGTGCCAAGAGAGATTTCCCCTCCTCCCTAAGTGTTGCCTGCAGTGTATGAAACATTTTCCACCTAGGAGCCAGGCTGTCTCTTCTGTTGGCAAGCCGGGAAGCTTTGGGAAAGGCAAAGCCAAGATGGAAGCTAAGCAAAGGGGAATGAACTCAAGGGAGATGAAATCACACTCACAGTGAGTGTCCAGGGTCTCTGGCCCATGTCACCACTGCTGCTTGGCAGTGTGGTCATATACCTCATGTCTCCTTGGGACATCTCAGTGTCTGGGGAGGAGAAACTGCTCCCCCATTTGCAAACAGGAGAGCTGTACCACCCCCTCATTCCAAGCAGCCACTGACCCTCTTCCGAGAAATGTGGGATACACGTACCTGGCTGCAGCTGGCACAGAGCTGGTCTGTGTCCTGTCTGACTGGCCCCTGTGCCAAAGTCCAGCACAGATAGTGGTAAGGAATCACCCCGCTTACCTGGCTGGAGGTAACCTGGAACAGCTGGTGAGTTCATGACAGACTTGAGGATGCTGTCAGAAGATTTGTGCGTGCTCATCTGTGCCCTGCAAAGAGGCATCCACCCCTGGTGGCGTGCTACCTTTGCTCTCTCTTAGGGGCTTGGCCCAACATCTCTGGTATTTTGGTGACCCATGCAAGAGGCAAGGATGAGTTATGGGGACTACAGGCCTTAACATATCATGCACACTTTCCACTGTTGACTGACACCCTATTACTGCTCCTGGCTGATGGGCTTAGCTCCCTTTGATCCAAGCAACACAACAGCAAAAGCCAAGGTGGCTCCATACAACTGTCTGGAGAGTGACTCCTCCTGAAGCACATGAAATATGTAAAATACATGAAATACATGAATAACACAGATGCAAAGGGATGTAGACCCCAGGCTGGGGTCTGCCCCCAACAGTGTGTTAATTGCCTCCCAGGAGCAGTTAAAGGGCTGAGACTCCTTACCCCTGTAAACTCCCTGATGATGTTGGGTTTTCCAGGGAAAGAACTGGTTGCCAGGCTCTAACAAGTGGAGATCTCTCTCCTTTCCCATGAGGCCTGTGCTATGGGAGACTCCTGGGGACAAAATATTGAAGAGACTAACATCTGTGAGAGAGTTACAGGGGCAACTTTTAGCACAGTGTGTAGCTGAGAGTGTGGAATGCGCTGCAGACAACCTCGACACAAAGCCATGTCCCTCCCTGGCTTCCTGGATGTGGATGCTTTTGACACTACTGACAGGTGATAACCCCTTGCTTTCTCCTTCTCTCTTCTTCCCCTTTTCCTTTTTTTCAGGGAGATTCTGGGTGGCCACAGATCTGTTTGTTTGACAGACACAACAAAGTGGTCAGTACTGCAATCTGAGGCAGTGACAAGTGTCATCCAGGGTCCCTAACAGTCTGCATCAGGGTTTCTGCCTTCAGACACTGGATTTCACCAGTCACAAAACAAAATATTTGATTAACTAGAACAGAAGCTTTTCAGGCTTTTGTGCATTTTTACTCAGTAAAGAGGTTGTCATGTATACCAGGTTTGTAACTGGGATCATGTCCCTCCAAACCCTTCCTCTTTGGAAGTTCAGACTTGAGTGCTCTGTTTCAGAAATCCTCTTTTCTACTGCAGTAAACCTTGTGGTGCTGTGGCACTGATATCAATTCAGTTCCTGAAAGGTGCCTAGGAAATATTATCCTTCAGCGTCTGGGTGCATGGCCAGTGTCAAGTCCTTTACACAGCTGGTATTCATCTGTCAGAATTGGTATCCCTGTTCCTCTTGGATAATCTGATTTACCAGAGGGAAGTAACTGCTGCAGCAGCATGGGTAGAGAAGATGGACTGCTTTGGCTGCAGTGTTGCTTTGCTGGAAAGGAAGTGATCTGAAACTTGGTGTGAAAGCTCATCCATTGTAAATATACCTTCAGGTTTCAGAGAGATTTATCTATGCCAAGCTTTTAGTCTTGTCTCTCCTATTAGGAAGACCATACTGACATGATTCCATTTGCTAGAAGGTTGTTTTTTCTTTTAAATATACCTTCTTGGGGGTGAAAAGATAGTGTCTGACTTACCTAAATTTTCCTGTGAGCTGGTAGCTCAAAATCAGACTTGGAAGTGAAATGTGCTTGTGAAGAAGGATTTTAATGCTCAGCCCTATCACATGTATGAATAAATTACAAGCCAGGAAACCTCTGCCTGCATCCATCTCCTCTGATTTCAGCACTACTGTGTACTACATACACATCCATTCTTTAAACAGAAGATAGGAAGCTCTTTTCCATCTCTGTGCTGTATATTGTAATCCACTTAAATATGGAAATATAAACAGAGGAGTTTATGTGATGAAGCAACATGATGTCATGTAAACAACTGAACTTAGAACCATCTGCTGCTAAATGGCTGAAAAACTGCAGCCTGCCCTTACACCAGGTCATTCAGGTACATAGTTCATAGTTAATACATACATACATACATACAATACTTAAAAAATCATGTGTGTAACTTTTGATTTAGTAGACGTACCAAATACCAGTGTCTCTGTTGCTTAAATGAAGCCTTTCTTTCTCTTTTCCACATCCCATGTTACTTTTGCAAAGAAAACCTCATATTCTAGCACAATTCAGAAAACATCAGTCAATCTGTACAAAAATAATAGTTCCCCTGAACTAGCAGAGCTGTAAATTGCAGTATTTTGTCAGGCTGCTGTTGCTGATGACTGACTTGTTGTGTTATAACTAACTTTAAAAAACTGCTCTGCCATCGTGACAGCAAATATGTTGTGGTTTTGGCTTAAAGATGTGATTTCCACAATGTGTCTTCAGCTGTGCAAATAGAGCAGCTTAGGGTTTGTAATTTAGTGCTGTATCACAGACCAGAGAGGCTTCCTATCGTGAAAATAAGTGTGGCCTTTGAAGGTTTCAGTCAGTATGTTATTCCCCTAAGATGTGGAGGCAGGATGGGTCACCATGCCTGCTCCTGGTGGCAGGGAGGTAGGCAGAAGGAAACCTGTCCCCAGGGTTCCTGATGTGCCAGTCAACACTTCTTATATCTGGAAAGAGGATGTGCTTCCCAGTGAAGTGACAGCCTTGTCCTAGGAATAGTCCTGTCTATGCCCTGGGAGATTGACGGAGCTGCAGGGTGAAACCAGGCTCTGGGACATGCCTGTGGTGGCAGCAGAACCCCCTGGCCTGCCACACAGGACTTTATACCTTAAATTTCACTGGGAGAAGAGTGTTAGGAAAGCTTCTGGCAAACCTGAAGGAGAGAAATTAATACTCCTCTGAACATATTTTTTTTATGACATAGAAAGGGGCAGCCAGGTGCTGAGGGGTGTAACTGCTAAACTGCTAAGGAAAGTGTCACCATGTAAAATAATTTGGACTTCCAGTGCAGAGCTAACATTGAAATGAATATGCAGGATATCTGCTCTTTATGTTGTCCCTCAAGATCTGCTGCCTGGTCTCCTTTTGGACCACCTATTTGATGCAGAGGCATTTGGTAAGAGAAGAGACACAATCCATGTTGAGGTGCAGCACTTTGTACAGAGGAGCTTTCCCTTTCCAGCTTTCTACAAGCAAGTCTGGATCTTATATTATAGATTTACCTCTGAGGGAAAGGGAACAGCAGATCCAAGAATTATTTGCATCTTTTGAAGGAAGAGGCACTGCAATATTGAAGAAGGAGGCATAGATGTTGGGGAAGGGTTGCATAATTAAAGCATGACAAGTAATTCCCATAAGTGTGGACTCTAATGAGCTCTTTTCTCTAGTTCTAGACTTGTTTGAAGCAAGGGTAGATCATAAATTAATCTATACAGCATTGAGGTGTGATTTTTTTTTTTTTTTTTTTTTTTTTCAGAATAACTCTTCACTGCAGGACAGCAGCTTTACCACACTCCAAATGCTATTCCTGATTCATCCTTTCAGAAATATGCACAAATCCCACAGCACTGATGCTTTTATGCTTAAAGAGGGCACAGTAAGTATTTGCTGCACCAGCTTTAACTCTTCTATGCCATTTGGCTACAATATCAACACAGGAATTTAAAATCAAGAGAAGGTTCTCCTGACCACCAACTCCTCCACCAGCCCAAGCTGCAGTTCAAACTAACCTGGCTTTTTGGTTCCTTGGGCTCCAGGGGTTGTATATTAAAGTCTGGGGAGAGAAGGAGGGCTTCTGCCTGGCATTAGCTGGATGTGCTTGAATGGTGTGTGTGAGCTTTTTATGGCACAAGGAATGGGACTACGAAATCCCAAACAGATTTCTCATTACAATTTCTCAAGTAGCTGGGAATGCAGCACATCCTGATGCTGCTATAAATGTCCTTCTCTTTGCTGCTGCACAAAGTTGATTGTCCTATCAAAGAGGGATGTTCTATGTAATTGCAATGAAGATGTTCTCCTGATTCATTGCTCTCGCTTTGTGGATTTTTTTGTCTTTCCTTAAAAGTAGCTTAACAAGAAACGACAAGCTGCTGGTTTTATAAGCAGAGATTTTTAAAATTTTAGCAAGCGCTGGATTAAGATGAGTGGCGTGAAATTTTGATTACTTTTTTCTCCCAGAAAAGATTGTGCTTAATGTTGGTGCTCAGATACCCTCCTTTTCATACTCTAAGTAACCTGTCACATTTTTACATGGACTGAGAGGCCTCCAAGAAGAATCCGTAACTTTTGACGTGACTAAACGCTTACAAACTCAAAAGCAGATCCGTATATCCTTGAAGCAAAACAGCCTGAACTGGCTGGAAGCTGTTGTTTTAGCATCTACTTTTCATTGCAAGAGCCAGTTCTTCATATGTATATTTCCTTTGCGTGCAGAATGAATGCACTCACATACTAATAAGGATCAGTTGCTATTTTCTTCTCAAGACACATACAGGATTTGATCTATGCTTGCTGTACTCTCTGCTCTCCCCTAATTTAGTGGCACTGTTTATGTAATTGCTGCTTTTCTGATTAAACTGCATGAGTACAAGCTGAAGGTTTGACACAAGGCAGCCAAAGCTTTTTAATTGCCTTTAGCTTGCCTGTAGCTGCAGCACAGCTCTTTGAATGCAGCTGACTCGTGAGAAAGTCTGGGAGAGAAATTATGCACTTTTTATTTATGCTTTTTCTTTGGCAAAATTGCTCTGTGAATTTTTATCACCTAATGGTTTCTCTGACACTTTTAAAAACTGTGCAGCTTCTCACCAAGAGACTATTTTATATGAGACTTGGGCCAGTAAACCATTTCTGTGATCTGGGAAGTGCTATGCTTCCTTCACAGAGCAATTCATTTTGAAATTAGCTGGGCCTGCCTGCTCAAGAGGAACTCACAGTTGCTTGGCTGGTAGTCCTGAATGGACCTATTAAATGCCATATTTCTGCAAAAAAACCCCAGCAAAAATCTATTGCTGACTAGCAGGTCCTGAAATTCATGCATATCAAGGGTAGCATAAATAGTTTCAGTGTGTGATTTTGGAGAGAAAAGTGGTCTCTGGCTCAGTAAATACTAACTTCTACCCAGTCTATTGAAAAAGGTGGTTATATAAGGTAGAAGTCAGCTGGGGCTTCAGCAGAGTTTGGAGGAACTGGCTTCCATTCAAAATGCCTTTTAAAATTCACAGCATTTAGTGATATGGTTGCTAACTTACTTACCCTGTACTAAGGTATGGCCAGCCTTGTGTTTCTCCCATGTGGTTCCAAAGTACAGTCTGAAGCTCCAGGTCCTTTCTCTCCCCTGTCTAAGGTATTTTACAGAAATGATATCACCCTATATCACCCCCACTGATGTACAAGGGAGGTTTGGTCCAAGGCAGTTTAAATGGGTCACTGCTGCTGCCTCTGACCAGCAAGGTGGAGTTGTGTCAGATTCAAGCACTTTGAATTCGTGTGTGTGAAAATCAGTGTGTTATGGGTAGATGTCTGCTCACTACAGCGAATTGTAATGGCAGGCTCCTATCAAGTGATGTGCTGCTTTCCACTGTTTTCGGACAAAAGTTTCCAGCATGAATCCTAAACTGTATTTAACTTGCCTTTGCATGTGAGATTTAGTACTTAGAAGGGGACAGGAGACCTGGAACACTACAAGATACAGTGAATAGAAGAGGTGTAAGGAATGTGCGCCATAGGCAGAGGACGGGGACTCGTATGTAAAGGCATGACAGCAGGAGCACACCATGCTCTAAAATCATGACAGACTCCATGTTTAGACTTGCAAGAAAGAGAGCAGGTTCCAGAAGGAGAGAGCACAGATGTTTTATTCGGGAGTGAGGGCTCTTCAGTCCTAGCAGGAAGCTAGAGAGTGAAACTAGGTCCTGAAGACTTGTGGTTGGTCACCAGTGAAGACAGTCCATGACAGATTTCCCAGGGTCCCTAACCACTGCTATTTGCTCACTTTCTTTCACCTGACCATGGAGAAGAATCCTAGTTAATGGAAACTGCAGGCAGTGCTCAAACTGGGTTTTGAATTTTCATGATATAGAGCTACCCTAAACACTAATGTTGGTGCTCAGCCCCCATCCTTAACAACAAACTACATTTGTCTTGTCCTGTGCCCTGGGGACACATTCTGTGTGTGTATATTTTCTTTTGATGCAGAATGATTGCACTCACACACTAATAAGGATTAGTTGCTTTGTGTTCCCCTGTTGTATGTGAAGGTACCACCAACAGACACCATTTCTTGAGGAACTGGCAGCACTGGCTACTGCTGATGCTGTGTGGGTTGGAAAAAGGACCTTGTTCTGCTGTGAGCACAGCATTGCTTGGGATATCTGGTAATGAGACCAGTTGGGAGGGAGCTATTCTCACTATGTGATCAAGAAATTAAAACACTTCAGTGGGGGCAGTTTAAGTTGAATTCCTCAGTAATTGTCCCTCTCCTTTCACAGAAGTTGCTCAGGAAATACAGTTCCTGTGAAAAGCCCAAGGAGCATCTTACTCTATCACTTCCTTCTCTAGCTCGGCTGGAATTCAGTACATTCTTTTTCCTCCAAAGTAAAAGTATGAAATTTAGCAAAAGTGTGTGCTGTGTCCTGGTCCTGCCTTGTAATTCCCTGGGAGTTTTGCCTAGAGGTGACTGGGTTGTGTATATCCACATGGTTCCGTACCAGTTAGGAGTCTGGAGAGTGCTGGGAGCCTTGTCCAGCTATGTGAGCCTTTCAGAGTGGTGATGCAGAAGGAAGAATACAGTCACCTGGCTTGCAAGAGGCAAAGCAGAGTTAACTGTTTAAAAAATAAAACAGACTCAATTATACCGCACGTTTCTCAGAGTAGAAAACCATGATTTAGTTGCTTGAGGGTTTTTCTTGTCCACCTCTTTTTTATTAAGCTCATTTTTCTTTATTCCTGACTTGTGACAGCTGAATTAGTTTTCTTGAGAGGGAGATGAGTGTGTGTGTGCCAGGTGACCACGTTTGTTTATTGTGATGGTGATTGAGTCTTCCGGCTGGATTAGAGTAGTCACAGATGCTCAGCACGTTGGATCACAGCCCTAATTTTGAACATGCATGCTTTTAAGTATGCACTTAACTAAGAAATGCTTCAGATCAGGTTACTAATGTTTTATCTTCGGGCTTCCCGTAGGTATTTCCTCACTTTCCTCCTCTGCTGCCACCACGTGGACATATCTCAGTGTTCATTAAGGTTTGCATTAATCTTTGAGAAGCATATCCCCTATCCTTGATTGTACTGCAGTTTTTAACCGTACACAACACGTTTCTTCATTTGCCATGAAATTCAGCTGGGAAGAATCTGACATATTAAAATAACAAAGCAAGGAGAGAGAATCTCCATCATGTTTTACTTTCCCATTTTTCTACTGAAAAAGTTCCAGAAGGTGTGCATTTTTCACACTCTGGAAAAGGTTATGCAGAGTAACTGAGTGTGCATAGCAAGTTACAAACATCAGACAGAAGCTTCACAGGCATCTCAATCAAAAGTCAGGCTCAAGCCTGAGCACAATTTTTCCTCTGCAATGAAATGTTGAAAGCAATGAAATGTTGGGGTGGAGGACTGATCTTGTCCCCTGTCCCCTTTCAGTCCAGGATGCAGTTTAGGGGTAGTTGCTGGAAGGAAATCCCTTGAGAGTGCTTTCTCCTCACTTTGTATCAGAGAACACCCTTCTGAATGGCTGGAGTGGAGCAGTCTTGTTTGATCAATTTACAGCCTTGTTAGAGGAAAAAAGTTTAAATGAAACACAGACTTTAATGCATCAAATGCTGCTCTAGGTGTATGGGAAACTTGTTCAAAGTGATAAGTCAGCTACCAGGACAGATTACAGCTGGGTTCAGTCCTTGATATTAGCCACATAGCAGGTTGTTCCATGTGGTTACAATACCTACAAGAATAACTAAATCTCATGTGGTTTTATGCATTACAATAGCTCTGACAGAGCAAGTTTGGCCCTGGGGCTGTGAAGTCCTAGTGCCAATATGATAGAGAATTGCTATTCAGTCTCAGAGAATCAAGAATGACTTTCTATTTTCTCTCTCTTTCCTCCCTCTACTGGCCGACAGAATAAGATCAGAACACATTCAGAATTTTCTTTTGCTCTTCAGAGACATCCTAATCCAGAATTCAGCAAAACTTCCAACTTCGACTCATCTTGAAGGTAGAATTGAATGAGCTGAAACAGATGCATCAAAGACCTACATGGGGTTTCTGTGCTGCTCTGGGGCTGTCTTTGGTTTCAGCCCTGGGCTACCATCTGTCACAGGAATGTTCTAAAAAGGCTGATGTCCATGAGTGCCTTAGACAGAAAATGCCCTGAGAGAGGGCCTGGTGCACCTGGCTGCCTGGGGCCAGGCTGACCATTATCACTCCAAAACTGCAGAATGGCCACGGGGTCAAGGCACCTCTGGAAGTCTCCAGTCCAACCCCTGCCCAGAGCAGGGTCACCTAGAGCAGGTGGTAAAGGGCTGTTTCTAGTGAGGTTTGAATATCTCCAAAGATGGAAACTCCACAACTCGGGGCAACCTATTCCAGTATCTGGCCACTCTCACGGAAAAAAAAGGTTTTTCTTTCATTTCATTGGAATTTCCTGTATTTCAGTTTTGTCCCTGTTGCTTCTCATCCTTCCATGGGGCATCACTGATAAGTGACTAGTTCTGTCTTTACTCCTTCCTACCAGGTGCTTATACATATGGATAAGATCCCACTGAGTCTTCTCTTCTCCAGCCTGTACTGGTGTATGGGGTTGTTTCTCCTCTCAATTTTGGACCATCTGAGGATGCACTTTGCCTTCTTGTCTGGGTCATTTATGAAGATGTTAAGAAGTATTGGTCCCACCATTAACCCCTGGGGTCTACTGTTGGGGACTGGCCTTCAGCTGGAGGGGAAAAAGAAAACACATCTCTCTCAGAAGCCACGTCTTGGTCTCATGTAGTGCACAGATCTAGGACAATAAAATAAGTTTCCTGGTGGCATCTCTACATGCAGTGAGGTGCATTTATTGACCTGTGCAACAGGGATGAAGCCTTCTGAGTGACAAACAGTGCCAGTGCTTCCTATTGGAGAGGAAAATTCGGGCACAAAAACTTTTAACCAAGCTGGTGTGGGAGAACCTGATGAACTCTTTCCCTCTCTGTTTTCCTCAGATCTTGAGATCTCACTGTGCAATGTATTGACAACATTGCTTGGAAGGACACCATAGCCTTTACTAGATGTTTCCACCTCTGCAATCTGTATCATACCTGTTCCCTTGATAAAATAGCTTTTGGACCAGAGGAGTCAGTGTTCACAGGAACGCAGCCTGCATCATTCTGTTCCATCTAGAAGCTTTTGGGGATGCTAATATCCAGATGCAAATATCCAGGATTGGTGTTAAATACTTTTGCACCTCAGAGTTTTAGACTTTTCCTTCTAGATTGTTTACTGGTTTATATTTTCTGAAAAGCAATCTCTGAGTATAAAATGAGATGATATAGCAACAAACACTTTTCAAAGTCTGCTTCTGCTGAAAGAAAGCCCGTCCAGCTGCATTAAGAGAAATATGAGCCTCTTAAATCTGCTCACCACCCCAACAGAGGGAAGTTATATTCTGTTCTGCCTTAGACAATTTAGTAGCAGCCATTTCAAAAACACCGTTCAGCATCTTAAAAGCAAACATGCTTTTGACAAGACTTCTAACAAAAAAAAGGACCCCCATAAAAGTCATGAGTAATAAAAATTATTCTCTTAAATATAAGAGAATAACTGGTGAAATAATGGGGGATATACTGGACTAAAGTTAAATTTTGCTATCTTTTTGACTACTATCACCTCAACGTGTGGGTAAAAAAACTCTCTCCTGGTCTGTATGAGAGTTATTTGGAACAGACCTACTTTAGATTTAATACACTTCTTAGACTGATGGTGAGAAAGGCCATTTTTAACCGTCTCTTTTTTCCTTAGGAGAACTCTTGGTCTTTCTTCCCAGCTTCTTCGAAGTTTTTCATCTATGGTAGATTAACTGTTTCACAGCTTTTCTTCTGAGAGTCTCAGAAGTATCCCGTGTATTGTGTTAAGGTGCACTTCTTATAAGACTTTTTGGGATCCTCCATCTTGTAGGTTCACCCCGCTACTGAAAGCAGTTTTGAAGATGTAACCTACAATACCTTTGGCAATGTTTTATATGGTGATTCTAATAAAACACTTAGTCTCTACCTCTCCTCCTCCTGCAGTTTTTCACAGGACAATAGCCCTGCCTCCATAGATCACAAGTGATCCTGTATACTAAGGAGAAATCCAGGACACACAACTGTTTGGAATTGCCATAATTTTCACCATCAAAATCCTTGTTGCTCTGAGGTATTTTTTAAATTTCTGCAGAAGTCTGTGAGGACACAGTTCAATCATCACCTTGACAAGATAAAAATTAAATATCTCAGTTCTAATCTGAAGTTTTTGCAGTGAAGTGGTGCCAGTAGCATGTTTACTCAGAGCAAATTAATGTGGATAGTCATAAGCAGTGGTAACAAATTTGTTGGCCTTTTTTTCCTGGATAAGTATGTAGTGTAACAGCAATGCAGAGGGCCCCTGAAACACTGGTATCCTGCAGTGTCTGTTGTGGCTTCATATAGTTGAATCCTTTGGAAACTTTCTGCAGAAAAAGGAATATAAAGGATTTTGAGATGCATTGGTGTCTGTGAGATGACATGTGATGAAAAATGCCCATGTTCTATCCAAAGCTTTCAGGTTTATTTCTTGCCAAGCACATCATCCATCAGATGATGAGCTCAGAAGTTATGGATTGCCACGTTAAACACTGGGGAAGTAATCCCTGGAGGACGAAACAAAAGCCATGACTATTTCTTACTCATATAGGAGAATTTGAAATACTGTGTTTTCCAGTTGTAGGGCTGGTGTGTTTCCATTACTTACTTCCCAAGAGATCCAGGGGTGTAATGAATTGTACTGGAAAAGCACATTTGGCATTTTGTTGGAATATCCAGGTGCAAAGTCTGGAATACTAAATTTTGCTGGGAAGAGTGATGGAAACCTCCCTGTTTCTGGAAAGCATCGTATCTGAGTGTTGCAGCCATGGGAAATACCCTCCCATGTATGGAATTTAGGAAGTCATTCCAATCAGCTCAGCAATAACCACTGCCTTCTCTCCTTTCTGCTTATAGAGGAACAACTCTTTCAGCCGAGTAAACACGCCTGAGTGTTTTGTACTGGTATGAGTGATTTGTATTTCTTCAGGGTAAAAGCTCTTTGCTCCCCCAGTCCCCATCCTGCTGTCCATCCACTCAAGAGATTTGCCTGAAGACAGGCAAAAAAGTTGTTGAGTACCTCGTGAGTACCTCAGCCTTCTCCTCATCCATTGTTACCAGTTTTCCAGCATTGTTTATTGGTGGGGGTGTGGTGTGTGAACAGTTGTCCATAAACTTACTCAATAGTTCCTTTGGATTTATATGCTTTCAGATGATCCCTTTTCTTAAAAAGACAGAGAACCTCTTTTTCTTAAAAAAAACTCAAATCAACCAAGACACCCAACTTCTCATAAACAATTTCCCAAGCCTTCTGGGAGTACGAGGTAGCTGGACCTTCAAGACTGCTGCATATTCTTCTGTGAGAGCTGCAGTTAGCTCTGGTAGGTAAACACTGCTAACACACCCACGTAGCAAGAAGTATTGTGGGTTGTAAAATACCTCTGTATATTGCATTTTCAAGTGCTGTAAAATTGCTTTACAGCATTAGCTTTGACTTAGTTATTAGTAGCAAAGGGGTGAATGAGGTGTTTGAGCATTTTGTTTGAGGGCTTGTTTATAATTCTTCTAATCCTAATGGCACCATAATTCTGAGACTTGCAAAAAAGGGGCCTGCCTAAGTAGTGGCATCTCAGTCTTCCATCTTTGCATTTGTATGACAAGCTCAGCTTAGGGAAGCTTAGGAAGAGTTAGACAGAGCTGCTACTGCTGCTGTGATGGTCTGAGAACTGGCTAACCCAGCCCACCATTGTACATCCATATCTGAAACAGTATTTCTGTTCCTCTTCAGATTTATTGGTGCCATCTAGGGACAGAACTGTGAGAGCCCTGCTCCTGTCTGTCCTTTTTCAAGACCTTATGGTTTCTTGCAAAAAAAAAGCACTTGTCCTTCCAGCAATATCAGCTTTGTAATGCATTTTCTTTAGCAGTGACACGTTTAACCTTTCTCAGAACCGTTGCTGTTATAAATATATGGTGCTTTTCAGATACACAGAAAAATCACCCTATAAAACGTGATTTATTAACCACGTGTGGAGGCCCAGTATTTCACAATAGCATTTTACTCTCTAGTTATCCAGAACTCTTCTCATCTGAGCAAGAATAGCACTCAGCTGCATACAACACACCTGGGAGCGTGAGGGTCAACACTCGGCTCTCAGCAACTCAGAGGCCAAAAATCTGCCAGGCACAGGAACAGAAACCTAGGTCCACCAAAGAAGGCAAGATCCAAGACCTTCTGAGGGTTGTTACCTTCGAAGTACAAAATAAGAGTGCCAGCTGGATGGACTCTGGTAGGGAGATGTAAATGGGGACAGGTGTGATTATCAAGACAGGATACATTGCACCAGCTTTTTGCTGTAAGGCTGCTACAGAGGACCATGTTTAAAGCTTTACTACAGACAAGGAAACAGCATCAACCACACTCTGCATCCAAAGAAGCCAATCACTGCATCATCACCAGCAGTCACAGACATGGCCAGGCTGTGGTAAGTCCATGCTGGTTGTTTCTAATCACCCTGTTATTCATTTACTGGGATTTCCTTTGCAACCTTCCCAGGGACAGAGGTTGGCTGACTGATCTGTCTGTCCCTGGATCATTCTTCCTGCTCGCATTGGTGAGGACTGTGATAGTCTTTCCAGTCACCAGGGACTTCCCCAATTTCCAAGACATTTGAAGGTGATGAAGTGGCCTCATAAAGATGCTGGGTACCTCCCTTCTTGTCCTGGGAAGCAGATCTTCCTTTTCTCCTCTTCTACTCATTTTCTGCCTCCATTTTTTTATTGTTTTCCTACGTAAAATACTCTCCTGGGGACTTTTTCCTCCTGCATCTCCACAATTTCCCTCTCTGTAATTTCCTTTTTTTTTTTTTAATTTAATTTTATTTTTTTTATTTATCTTCACACTGGGCACTACACTCAAATAGCTGCTCTTCAATATGACCCCTCTCCAAAGAACCATAACATGAGAAGATGCTTAAACAAACAGGCACTCACCTAAGCACCATTAACCTGGGCTTATCTCCCCACATCATACTTATTTTTTAATGAAAAACTGCTGGCTGCCTCAAAAGATATTGTCTAAACAAGCACAGAACAGCTCCTTAGAGAGATGATCTCTCCAGTTTTATACACTCCAATTTATTACCACATCATATTTCTAAGAAAATGGTTTTACTTATGCTTTTCTGCAAAGCACTCTTCTCACATATTATTTTTAAACTTTCATTACAAAAATGAAAAAAATCTATAAAACTTAAGTAGTAAAATGAGATGATCCTGATTTAGTAATGTTAAAGGGTGTACCTAAGCTAAGTGGAATGCGATCTGGAATGTCTCCCCATGGTGAGAAGACTGAAGGAGATCACATAAAGACAGAAGAAGCAAAAAGAGGTTGAGAGGACATGTGAGAGGACATGTGGGGAAACGCCGCCATCCCAGGGAGACATCGGCTGAGCCGGCTGGGGGCTCACACCTTGCCCCTGGTTTGAATGGATGACAGCGTTTTTCTTAAGCTTCGTTGCTCTCAGGGTAAGTTTTGGGGATTCACACCCACCCACACTATTTTTGTAGCATCTTCCCCCGCCCATACTAGTGCACTGCACCCAGAAGCTGCCTGTAACCTTGGGAGGCGAATTTGCCCCGTCTCCAGCAGCGTTTTTCAACCTTATGCAGGCAGATGTGCACTAAAGCCGATCCCAGAAACATCTCTGCTCTCCCCCCCTGGAATGCATTAATTATGCAAGCATCCAGACAGCTCCTCCTGCCAAACCCACCCGATGTCCTTATCTTAGGACAAAGCACGTTGCCCGTGAGAGGTGAGGAAAGGAGCGAGGGAGGACACCTGTGAAGACCCGACTATCTTTCCTCCCGGTCACAGGCGCTTTAGGTGGAAAATCAGCACTAAATCTTTCCTCACCTTTAAACCAGTTCATCCCTTCATTGTCTCCAGATGCAGACAGCTTTATGCCTAGCCAGGAAAAAGAACTGGGGGTATCAAGTATCTGCACTTTTAAATGTTATCAGCCACTTCCCTTAATTTATTACAATAAATTGCTGATGGAGGAAAAGAACAGGATTTACCCGCATACACATAAAGAATATTTCTGCTACTACTTTTTTCAGACCTCTGAAGATTTGACTTTCTTCCCTCTCTCTCCCTCCATCATTTATGTGAAATCTGCCTTATATTTCCCTGCGTTAGCTTTGGTGTCTAGACTCTCTTCCATTTTTCATTAAAACAGTGTTGTTTTTGCTCACCTGCTGGTTATTTCTTTTAACTTCCCTACTGCAGAGAAGAAAGTGACTTTCATTTGGAACTAACTTCAGCACTGAGACATCCAGGAGCTCCTAATCGTTAGGATCTACAACCCAGGTTTTTAGGTTTTTCTCCCACTTCATCTAAAGACTTGCACCCTCCAAAAAGAAACTGCTTTTATATGGGAATGCAACTCACTCAAACGTCATACTTCACTATGCCACACCACTGAGAGCTCCTAGGTAAATTAGAGACTGGATTAGTGTGTATCTACTGCCTTGTACTGAGAGAGCCATAAATACAAGAGGTAAAGAGCTGAGACAGATTATGTTTGGGTAGTGCCACCTTGGGTATTACTTAGTCGTTAATAATGTTTCTATTCATTTTTTAGAAATATATTAGAGTTTTTTTGTTGGCACAAAAATGTTCCCACTTTGTGGGAGCATTGGGCACCCACAACCCCTTCTCTCATGGTGCCTCCAGGAGGAGGAATGGATCCTGTCCCTGAATAACAGAGAAGCCTCTTTGCAATGCAGCAATGGTTGTGCATGCCAGAGATAAGTCCTGCAAAAGGGTTTGTTATGATCCCTTCTCCTCACTGGGAGGAGAGAGAGGACGCAGGAGTGAAGAAAGGGTAATGATACTGAACTGCAGGGCTTCTGTGAAGGTACCACAAATGCTCTTCTGCTGGGTATATTTCCTTGCTATAGTCTCTTGGCCTGCTTTTCCCCATGACCATGGTCTGTGAGCTGTCACAGACCTTCTCCTTTGCTCAAGGAGAAGACCTCAGTTCCAGTTCCTCAGACTCCCTCACTGCTGCAGCACTGTGGGCATGC